ATCTCAGGCTCTGGGCTTGTTCAGACTTGGCTCGTCTGTTGGGTTCACCAGGGAGTGACTCAATTGGTGTCATCTGAGCAGGGTTTTCTTCTGATGAACGTCGCTTCCCAGGGATACCTGGCTGCAAAGCAGACCTGTTGCAGACTGCCTGACCGCCCTGACCTCTCCGTTTGCTCCTGCTTGAACTGTAGACTTGGAAAAAGGCTTTAAGCTCCCTTACCAAGTGCAGAGTCATCCAGTCTCCCACTTTCCTTTTAATAAAAGCACCATTTATGCGGCCCGCTGCACAGAAATGGTGATAGTTATTAATACTGTCAGCCCTCAAGGGAGACTTTAGCCTCAGGAATCTTTTGTATTAAAATTAATTTGCTGCTCCAACAAGCAGGTATCCAATTATTTACCTTGTCCATCACAGGTGTGGGTGTCAGCGTGGCTGGAAGTGTGCTGTGTTAGTTCGCTACCCCGACACGTGCTGCAGCATCTCGTCAGTGCTCGGGGCTGTCTGGCAGCCCTTACGGGGTGATGCACGGGAGAACCTTCTCGAGGTGCCATTGATTTGACTTCACAAGTCAATTCGGTGCAAGTGGTAAGTGAAACCCTCCGAGGTGCTGGCTCTGCTGCCGCAAGAGCGTGCAGCAGTCAAGGGACCTGTTCATATTTATGTATTTTTATCAATAGATTTGCCCTTATTAAAATATAAAATTATTTTAGGAAAATAAGTTTCGCTGCCGCTGCATGTAACCCGAAGGGAAACACTTCAGTTGCGTCCATTTTTGTGACCTAGGCAACTCAAATCTTGCATTTTTCTCATGTATGAAACAACTTTCTCTGTAGGGTTTCCCCTTTAGAGGCATGAGTATCAATCGGCAATCGAAACTTCCACTGATTCCCGGGTAGAGCAAACAGCCAACTGTAGAGGCTGCGCCCCACCCGAGCGAGGTGGTGACAGTGGCTCAGGAAACCCAGCAGGAGTGAATCCAATAGTCTAGATTCAAGGGCAATAAAAAAAAACCCAACATGTGAACGCTGGAGATCTTTAAGTTCATTTCTGGTGGATAAAAAGCCACCAGCTCAGGGGCCTGTTCATTTCTCATGGTTAAATACCAAAGACTTGATCCTTTGGTTGCGCTCAGGTGGGTCTTGCTCCAAGATCAAGTGTTTTGGCTCTGTCGCTGTGTAAGTGTTTCAAACACAGCCTCTAAAAACTGAGGTTCTCTGTGGCCAGTACGATTCTTACAAGGTTTTTAAGTTACTGGTTGCTGCAGTTAAATTTTCTCTGCTGTTCCTCTACCCTGTTGTGTGTGGGGCGCTGCCGCTACTGTCTCCACCCATTGCCTCGGGGGAGTTAAGGTGACTCCTATACAGAAGCTGGGATGCAAGGCGCTGTTCTGCACAGTATATGCTTATATAGGAAAATTCTTGTTTTCCTCCCGTCCGCAGGCACTGAGCCCAGGAGCACCTTTCCCCTGAGGTCGATCTGTGCCATCGCCTGCCGATGTGCCCGCTCTAAGAGTGGCCAGAGGGCCCCCACCAGCTGCCATCCGCAGGGCCCGTGGCAGGGAGCGTGCACCGGGAAGCACGATGAAGATCGTCGTCGCCAAAGTGCTGTGTCTGCTGGGCATCTGTGTCCTCATGCTGGCTGGGGCCCCCCCCCCTGTCAAGATCATTGAGGCCGATTACGAGAAAGCTCATCGCTCCAAGAGGGTTCTTGCCCTCTGCAATTCCTTTGGAGGAGGAGTCTTCCTGGCCACCTGCTTCAACGCCTTGCTGCCTGCCGTGAGAGAAAAGGTAACGGCTTACCTGCCTCTTGCTTACGATCATTTTAACGAACCTGTACCACTGAGTATGTTAGGGACTCCTGTGCGGGGGAGAACCACCCTTCCCTCTCCTGTCCTGCGGGAGCCCAGGCCACCAGACCTCTGCCCCTGTGGAAATGGGGGTCTACATCTTGTCAGAGCGGCCTGTGAAGCCTCCTCAGAAACAGCTGTGCTGTGCCCAGTGCCTCAGATCAGGAGGGCGAGCTGTGCCTGCCTTCCGTTTGGCTACTGCTGACAGCCCGGGTGGAGTAACTGGAGATTTTTTTGATGCTGAAGGAGGCTGAGCATCGCCTGGGGTGTGAGGCTCAAACTGCCATTTTTAAAATGCTTTCAGAAAGCCCTAACCTTCCACTGGAAGGGAAATAGGCTCCCTGTCTCTTACGCTGAGGCTTGTACGCAAGGGTATTAAAGCACCATGGATCAATTCAGTGTCTGTTTAGAGTCGTGTGAACGCAATGGGAATATTTTCCTTTAGAGGGACAAAGGTGATTGATTCACTGTGGATTGTTTGCTTGGTTCCAGCTCGATGAAGTTCTCAGGCAGGGGAACGTGACCACAGACTACCCCGTGGCTGAGACCATCATGATGGTTGGCTTCTTTGTGACGGTCTTTGTGGAGCAGCTCATCCTGACCTTCCAGAAGGAAAAGCCCTCCTTCATTGACTTAGAGACCTTCAATGCCGGTTCAGATGTGGGGAGCGACTCTGAATACGAGAGTCCCTTCATCGCATCTTCCCGAGGGCGCACGCTGTACAGCGAACAAGGTCACCACTCCCACAGCCACAGCCTGAATCTCCAGGAGCTCTCCCGCTCCGGCCCCTTACGGCTCATCGGGCTGGTGTTTGCTTTGTGCACGCACTCCATCTTCGAGGGACTGGCCCTGGGCTTGCAGGAGGAGGGCGGCAAAGTCGTGAGCTTGTTCCTAGGAGTTGCCATTCACGAGACGCTGGTAGCGGTGGCGTTGGGCATCAGCATGGCCAAGACCTCGTTGCCGCTGAAGGATGCTGTGAAGATGGCTGTGACGGTGAGCCTGATGATTCCTCTGGGCATTAGCATTGGGATGGGGATTGAGAGCACCCAAAATGCGGCCAGCAACATTGCTTCCCTGCTCCTGCAAGGCATCGCGGGGGGCACTTTCTTGTTCATCACCTTCTTTGAGATCCTTGCGAAGGAGTTGGAAGACAAGAACGACCGTCTCTTGAAGGTTCTCTTCCTGGTGCTGGGTTACGCGGCTCTGGCCGGGCTGGTCTTCCTCAAGTGGTGAGCACGAGAGCGGTGGGGAGCAAACCTCACCTCCTTCCCCTGCCAACGGCACCGGAGGTCAGCCTCCTCTTCGGCCATGGGGGACGCTGAAGCTCAACGGCCAAGCGCAACGTCACGGTCCAGGTGGTATTTCTGTATTGACCTGAAGAAGGAGAATTTCCTCCTGTGTGCTCGGAGGGAGATAAAAATGAGGCGTGGTCCCAGTGTAGGTGTCACAAGGTATTGTCCCTGCCTGTCGGATCTGCGGGTGCAGCAGCTTGTGCGGAGATTAGTCGATGCAAACGTTAAGAATCTGGTTCTAAGGCTGCCTGCAAATTGCTCATCAAGCCTGTGGTTTCCTGGTGGTCTGGGTGGCCAGCCCCCTCCCTCCTTCCCCTCACACCCGCTGCAGAGGCTGCCTGAGAGGCCGCATCCCTCGCCCTCGGGCTCTGGGAAGGTGAGGAACAGTAACAGAAATAAAGTCAAGAGCAGGTGGGATCACTGATCGCACAGCTGCACTAAGCTGCTTTTGCTAGCTTAGTTTTGAGCAAAACCTGGTTGTAATAGCTGCCAAAAATAACATCCCTGCTGGGGCCGCTCGGGTGCCCGGTGCCGCAGCTCCCCCCAGCCGAGCTTCCATTTTAACCCACAAGTGGCTCGGGGAGCTTTTGTTTCTCAGAGTGATTAATGGGAGAAACGAGGCCGGGCCGGGCCCCATCCCGTGCTTCATTCTCTGCATCTCATCCATATGTTGAGCATTCCCTAAAGAAAGCCTCCAGCAGATTTGCAGATCCTCCCGCCCCTCTCCGAAGGCCCTTCCGCAGCACGCTCGGAGCCCGGGATCCATTCCTTTGTACGAAACGGGGGCGGCAGCGGGCCCCAGCATTAATATCTTAGGGCAAGCGCTCGCGTTTTAAATGGTCTGCAGTGAAACGGCTGTAGCCGTCGCCATCAAAGGCCTCTTCAGGGCTGCTCCCGGAGCCTCCGCTCTCGCTGCCAGCAGGCTCACGTGGCCGTGCTGCTGGGCGAGCGCGAGCCGTGCTGCGGAGGCTTTGCGGGGCATTTTGTCGGGGTTTTCAAAGGAGAGAAATCTCTTCCCCGGGGGGTTGCGAGGTTGCGGAAGGGCTGATTAGAGGCACTTGCAATCTGACTGCGCAGGAGCAGATCTCGCCGTGTCTCCAGAGCGCGGCCCCCGGGGGAAGCTCAGCGTGCTGCCGATCCCGTCGTGATCCTTGGGATTTGCTTTCCACGGCGAGGAGCTCGGATCAGAGGCTGGAGCCGGGAACCTGCCCTCCCCACTCCCTCCCGCGGCTGTAACACCGGCGAGCGGCTCCCGCTCCGCAGCCCGGCAGGGTAACGCAGCCGTGCTTCTCGCGGGGGATGCATTTTAATTAGATGTAGCCTTTGCTTCTGCAGCAGCTTTTGGAAGCGCTGATGGAATTATAACGATGTAGAGCGGGCTTAGCCGTGGCGCAGTCCCCGTTAGCGTGATCCAAGGGGGAAGAAGGATGGGTGAGACTGGGAAGCAGCATCTTGGAGCCAGTGGTTGGCACAGCTGCAGCATATGGAGGCTGATGAGGATCATCTGACGGTTCCTGGTGCTCGGTGTTTTAATTGCTGCAACATACCGGAGTCAATTAATCTTGCTTTGAAAAACCTGGAGGGGAAGGGGGGAGGGAGGGTTATTTTAGGCCTCAGATGACACAAATTAGCAGGGCTTGATGAGAATGTAATTTGCCTCCACGTGGTAACCCTCGGTGTGTTATTTCACTCCTCGCGGGCAGCTCGTGCGGGGCAGCGTGGCTCCCATCGGGTGTTTCTCCGGGCGGGTGTGACGCTGGGGTGGGGAGCGCAGCGCCGAGTGTCCCTCCCCGGGCGCAGGGGGGTTCTGCGGCTGATGGTTTTCTCGTAGGGGGTTTCCCCCCCCCCCCCCATTGG